CCATGTTTTTAGTTTTCAATCAGTGTAAGAAGAAAATTCAAATAAGAGTCTAATTTCAGCTTTGAGGTCAGGTCTCCCTGTGTCTTTTAGCAATTTCTTTAATCCCAATTGAATTGAGTTTAAGAAAAATTATTGCTAAGAATTCTACCAACCCTTGAAAGTGTTTGATTCTATACGTTTTATCTTAGCTCTCAAGTAGGAATAATAATATTCAGGGGGTGGGCGAGCTGGGGGAGCTGGGGGCGCAGCCTCTGTGAGAGGGGCAGGTAATGACACTGGAGGACCCAGGGCTGCGCCCCTCAACGTGCCAGTCTTGGCGAAGCGCACAACACAGGTGGATAGGGTGAGGGAAGCAGGTGGTCCAGAGCGCCGGTAATCCTCATAGCCGCGGCCACCCCAGCCTGGGCCTCCTGCCCCGACCACAGGATCTGAGGGCTCCGGAATCCCCGTAAATGGCAGAAGTGGAGGGTAGCTCTGCAGGAGGAAGGAAGAAAGAGATTGGTTTAGTGAAGCCCATGACTCACCCACCCCCACCACAATCTATCCAGTCCCAGAAAAACCTACAAGCTGGGAGTGGTGTCCTGTACCTGGAATCCCAGCATTTTGGAGGCTGAAGCAGGAGGATCTCGAAATCAAGCACAGTCTGGGCAATTCAGTGATTTAGCAAGACCCAGTCTCAAAATTAAAATAAAAATGAAACAGCAGGGGATGGGGATATAACTCAGTGTGAAGGCCCTGGCTTCCATTCCCAGTACTCCCAAAAATAAATAAATAAATTAATTAATTAATTCCCAAGATTCGGCTACAGGCCTTTGGCTTCCAAGAACCCTGTTTCTAAAATCCTAGGCACAAGATTCAGGCTTCCAAGATCACAGCCTGCTCCACTCCCAAGGTCCCTTGGCCCTCTATTCTCAGGGTCACACAAAGGAATACAGAACCAACCCCACACCTTAAAGACCTGGAGCCTAGTGGCTTAAGGCTTCCAGTTCTGCCAGTCTCCAGATCTAGGAGTCCCAGCCCTCTGCCCCTTCAAATCGTGGAGTTCTGGATCCTAGCCACCTCCTCCTCAGGAAGAGGGAGTCCAGTCCCTGGGCCTCTTTCACTCCCTTGGTTACTGAGCCTCCCTCTTGTGAACTAAGCAGTCTTTTGTTTTGTTTTGTTTTGTTTTTTGGTCTGTTGCTGGTCTTGAACTCACTATGTAGTCCAGGCTGGACTATGTAGTCACAACACTCCTTCTGTCCCAGCCTCCAGAGTGCTAGGATTTTTTTGGGGGTGGTGGTGCCAGGAATCAAATTCGAGGGCTGAATTTGCCAGACAGGTGCTGTGCCGCAGATCTGTATCCCCTGCCCAGAGTGCTAGGATTACAGGTATGCACTACCATGCGGGACTAAACAGTTCTAAGGTGCCTTTCCATGGGCATCAGCATCCTCTAATACACCGAGAAAATTGCCCAAGTCTTTCCCCACGCCTTTCTGAAATTCAGAACTCCCCCGAATCTAAAGAGTGCAGAAAACATCTGAAGCCTCCAGTCAACCCTCCGAGAAGCCCAGGCCTCTATCCCACCCTACTCAGCAGACACGTCAGCCATTCCCTGGGACCTGTGTATCCCTTCTCACCCTTGTGGGGCTCAGCTCCAGCGCCCTTAGGGACCCCAGCGCCAGTCCCTTTTCCACCCAAACTTCCGCTGGGGGTCGCACCTGAGCCGAGGAGCGGCGCTGTGGGGGCGTGGTCGGCCCGAAGGCAGAGACGGACTCCACAGTGACTATGGGGGCAGCTGCGGCGGTAGGAGGCGTCTCCTGACGGCTGTGACTGGAGGAGGAGTCGCTGTCCACGTGGGACTGGGGGAAATAGGTGGCCTCAGGGCGGAGAATCCCCCATACACAGCCCGTGCCCCCACAAAGACCCCCTCCCATAGAAAACAAGGGCTCTGGGGCCGTGCAGGCCTGGGTTCAAGTACTTCTCACCTCAGAGCTCACCTCTGAGCCTCAGTTTCCTCCTCTGTAAAATGGGGATCATAATAGTACCTATTGGTAAGGATGTGGTTAGGACCCATTGTAAAGGGCACAGCGCGTGCCCGAAGTACAGGAAGAGCTGGAAATGGTGGTTATTAATATTAGAGTCCTCTTCTTAACTGCTCAGCTCACCAACCTACAGAACATCAAAGCATCTTCTCGCTTCTCAGAACCCCTCTCTCCCTTGGCCACTCAGCCACCTTCCTGCCTCATTCCCACCCCACATCTTTTAGGGGACCCCCCCCCATGATCTCCTTCCCATCCGAACCAGGTTCTAGCTGAAGCTGCCCTTCTTGGATCCTTAGTTTTCCTTTCTGTAATTTGACCATGACCCTTACTGCCTCTGTTCACTGTCTTCAGTATATATCTACCGAGCACCGTGGCATGCAGGACAACAAGGCCACTGTGCAGGTCTCAGCCAGAGCGCACGCAGCCTCTTTTGAATCAGGACGCCAAAGACAGGAACTGTCTGTGGCCCACCTCCACTTTCCCTTATTCTGAGACTTTCCCCCTTTTCACCCAGGAAACCAGTTCCGGTTCTGAATACCTCCAGGTATTCTCAGCAATACCTGCTGTGGCCAAGAAGTGTCAAAATGTACCCAACCTTCTGTGCATTAATTCATTCAGTCAATTTATCCAACTCATTTACGGAACACTTACTGTATACAAGGCAATGTTTTAGGCAATGGATATGCAAGGAGACACCAATGAAAGATCCTTGCCCTCCTAGAGCTGACATTCTACCATGAGAGACAGCAAACCAACAGAAAAGAAAGCAGTCTTTTCATGGTGCATGCTTGGAGGCTGAGGCAGGACTGCCAAGAGTTCAAGGCCAGCCTGGGCTACATAAAGTATGAGTTCAAGACCAGCACGAACTACATAGCAAGACCCTGTCTCGAAAGAAAGAAAGAAAGCTGATAAGGGGCACTGGGACATGGGAAAGAGTGTTCCAGACATAAGAAACAGCTAATGCAAAGACTCTAAGATAAGAATGTGGTTGCCCTGTTGTAGTAAGCTAAGGAAGTCACTGTGGCTGCAGCTGAGTGAGGGAACAGGAATCCAGGACCAGATGGTGTGGGATCTTAGGTGCCACTGTAAGGACTCCATCCTCTCCTCTGAGTGAGCTGAAGCCCTGGGAGTGACCTGGGAAGGGGAGGGCTGTGATCTGACTCGGCAGTCAGTGGGATTCCCCAGGCCGAGTGGGAATCGGAGAGCTGGGGATAAGGTGGGGGGTGACAATGAGAAGATGTTGAGATGTTCTAGTGAGGAGATAAGGTTGGACAGTACCAGATGTGAGATGGATTCTGATCATTGTGAAAGTAAAACCAATATTTACTAACAGGTTAGATGAGAAGCATAAAAAATAAGAAGAGTCAAGGGTGACTCTGAGATTTAGCAGCCTGAATATCTGGTACATGGAGTTGTCACTTATTTCATCATTAATTTACTTTCTTTCTTTTTTCCCCCGCTTTTGTGAAACTGGGGATAGAATTCAGGGCCTTGCTAGGCTAAGCAAGAGCTCAACCTGAGCTGCACCCTCAGCCCCTTTTACTTTTAATATTTATTCATTTTTAAAAATCTATCCTTTTTTTTTCTGCCCTCCCACACTAGAATAAAAGTTCCAAGAAGAAATGAACTTTATTTAATCCACTGATGTATCCCCAGTGCCTAAAACATTGCCTGGTACATAGGAGATGCTCACTAAGTACTGGTGAATGAATTTGTGTATCACCATACAAGAGAAAAACTAGTTTAACTGAGACTGAATTGACATTAATTCTGTAGGCCTAATTCTGTGTCACAGCATGTGCCCCAGTGCTGGCCACAGTAGGTGCTCAGGAATATTCTGTAGATCAAGAGCCACTCCCTACCCTCCCAGCAGGGAGGCATCCCCCCCGGACTCACCGTCAGAGGGCAGGGGGTCTCTGCAGTGTCCTGGGAAGGAGAGGAGGAGGAGGAAGAGGAGGGGGTGAGGGAGCCTGGGCAGGGAGAGAGACAGAGTGAGTCCCAGTCCCAACTTCTCCCACCCCAGACCCCCAGCCCGAGTGCCCACCACTCGACCCACTCACCTCGGCCCAGTGTGGCCAGCGCAGCCAGCAGGCTCTTCTGGAACTCATCAGCCTCAGCGGGGCTCTGAAATGTCAGCCCAAACTTGCAGTCACCCAAGCTCCAGTGGTGGAAGATGGGGTTCACTTTGTTGTAAACCAAGCCCGGTCTCAGGGTGCATTCCAAGGTGGTCTGAGAGGCAGGAAGGTCTGTATCAGACACCCCTTTCCCAGCCACACATGTGACTCCACCTCAGGCTTTCTACACACTCTAGGATCCCACCAACCTCATTGCCAAAGGTACCCCCAACATTGATATCTCAGTATTTCTTCCCAATTTATAGAATGTAATTCTTCCAACCCTTTGATCGCTACATTTTTCTAACATCTTCCTCTGATGTCCCAGGAAGAACTCCCAAATTCACTGAATGCCTAAAAAATAGCCCCTTTCCGATAAACAACTATTTCCCCTTCTTTTTTCTTTTGGTACCAGAGATTGAACTCAGGTCCTTGTGCTTACGAGGCAGGCAGCAGAACCACTAGGCTAAATTCCCCGCCTCCCCCTTCTGACTCAGTAGTACTCCTCACACCCTCCTGAACATGTCAAAATATTACACTTAACTTTCTTTTGAAGTCTCAATAATTGTCTGAAACCTTACCCCAAAAGTATCCTTATTATACTTCCACCAATTTCCCCTCAATGTTGCTTAACGTGCTAGATGTTCCCTCAAATCCCTGCCTAACATTATTCCTCCACCCCATTTCACCTTTCCAAATCCGTCATTCCCCTGCTGTGAAAGACATCCTTCCCTAACCCCTTTTGCTTTTCTTTACCGCAACCCCCGCTTCTTTTTTGATCTTGCTGTGTAGCCCAGTCTGGGCTGGAACTCGAATCATCCTGCCTCAGCCTTTCAAGAGCTGGGATTAAAGAAAGGTGTGTGCTACCACGACAGTCATTCTCCTCCAGCCTTTTCGAAGCAATACAAATCTTCCCACTACATCCCCAGCTGAAACTTCCACATCGCCTCACTGAATCCTGCCAGACAGCCCAGTCATTCCTGCTGAACCCAAACTTTCCACCGAATTTGACCCCCAGAAAATGCCTCCAGATACTTAGGGCAGACAGGGGTGAGTTGGTGTAGGACCTCATGGTGAGGATCTCTGAACAAGATGGAGCCACGGGAGGGTTCTGAGAGGAAGAGGGATATGATCTGAGTCGGGTGTAAGCAGGGCCCCTGTAGAACAGATGGGTTGGCCAGGGAAGCAGAAAGAGGGCAGGAAGACCAGTAAGGAGGGACTAGCAGGAGATGCAGTGGGCAGGATCTGCCTGATATCCCACATACCTCCCGAAATTCCCAGTTCTTCTCCCCAGGACAGATATTCACTCCCACACTGCAGCACAGCCCCAGTTTGGGAGACATCCTGATTCTCCTCTGCACTCCCAGCCCCATTCCCCTGCCGCCCAGGACCCCACCCGACCCCACGCCCCAGGGTGGCTCACTTTCTGGTCCCGGAGGCGCTCCCCGTGGATGACGTAGTGCCCCTGGCGGGCCCCCCCCTCGGGCCTGGCCCCTCGGACCCGACATACGCTCACCTGGCTGAGGCCCCCGCCCCCCACAGGCAGCCAGCCCCCACTGGAGTCATCTCGGGCCATCACCACGGCTCGGACCCGCACCATGTACCTGGCGGTGGGGAAGACAAGGACAAGTCAGAGACCCCCAAATCCTGTTCTCCCTTTCAGTGTTCCCCTGAGCCTGCTCTTCCTTCTATCTTTGTCTCTCACATCCGGACCACTGCACCCTTGGCCACCAATACCCCTCATGCCCACCTTCACCTAGCATGGCTTCTTTCTTCCTATGACATCTCTTCTCTCATCTCTATCTTCTTCCCCATATCTACCTCTTCTCTGCATGGCCACGTTTCCCCCACCTTTCCCACCCCCATCCCCACAGCCTGGGTTTTTCACTTCCCCTCCCCCTCCCGCTCATCCCCTCACCCCGGTCTCCTTGCCTCTCTGCACATTCCCACAGCCCCACCCATAGTTCCCCCTCGCAGCAGGGTTCCTGCGTATATGTATTTTCTTGGGGCCCATCAACTCAGCTCCCATTCCTCCAACACTGCCTCCGCACCCTGTCACCCAGGCCACTGGCTGGGTGAGAAGCCCTGGCTCTCTTCCCCCACCCCTTCCCGGATTTATGAATGAGACCGGATGCAAAGCTCACTGAGTCACCCAGCAACCGGGAGATGGGTAGGGAGCAGGGAGAGAACCAGAAATGGCCAGAAAGAGAGGCCGAGAGAGAGAGATGGAGGCAAAGAAAGCCAGAATCGGGCGACCGAAAAGATCCTGGAGCATTTCATTCACAAAAATCAAGATTGCTCCTTCAGGTCCCAGCCGAAGGCAGGCATGGGGGACAAATGAGGGGATTGATTCCCCCCTCTTCAGTACCCTTCAGAAACACTACCCCGCCCCTTAGCTCAGGGGGGACGTAGCCCTCCGCCCAGTAATCCGGATAAGCAGTCAACCTTCCACTGCTTCCCAGCGCAGGGACCCTGGCGTCCGAACCTTAGGGACCCAAGCAACGAGTTCTAGCCCCCTCCCCCACCTGCAGGATGCTGGGTTTCCCCAGCCTCTCGGGAGGGGAAGGGGCGGCCGCAGCGCCCCCAGCCCCTTTTTCTCAATGGGATGGGATTTTGTGAATGAGCAGTCACGTGATGCTGCTTCCTTTGTCCGCCCGCCTCCCCCGACAACAGGTGAAGCAGGGAAAGAGGGCAGGGGTCCCCCCAGGGCCTAGATAGCATAGGGCACCGGGATTTCAGGGCGCCCTATGATCCCCATACATCTGCGTTCCCGGGGGGAGTGGTCCTTGAAGTTCCTCAATGGTGAGGGTCCAAGACGAAATTTTGTGAATGGGGCGTCCTCGGAGGAAGTCCAAGACCCTCATATGGAGACTGGTAGCCCAAATGGCTGCCGCGCAGTTTGGGGGCCACCACCCCTGGTCCTCCCGACAGGGGTCCGCGGGGGCCCGGGTGCACAG